ACCTTACCATAAATGGAGAAATGTTATCTAGGTTACGTACAGTAGTAGACTTAGGACTTAGATACTCCCAAGACTTATCGCTTACAGAACAGATATCGAAACAGACCTCCAAGTCACAACGACTAGTAGGTTACGTAATTCGAAACCTTCATAACAATGAATCACAAATTTTAATGTACAAAGTTTGTGTTCGACCTCTTCTAGAATATTGCACGTTTATTCTTAGCAGTGCGCGCATAAAGGATAAATTAAGGCTGGAATCAGTACAGAGACGATTTACACTTCGTATTCTTGGAGCTGATTGTACCTTAACTTATAATTCTAGATGTAAAAAACTAGAGTTAGACCCTTTATGGAAGAGGAGACTCAAACTAAATCTTATTTTTTTCTTCAAAATACTTAATAAACTATCCTTTACATCCAATCATGTAATTCAATACGCAGAAACTCCTCATTATGAAACCCGTAATTCCTTGGCACTTGTGAAACAAACTTATTCTAAATCATCTCTTTATATGAACTACTTTGCCTGTAAATGTTCTAGACTCTGGAATAACCTACCAGAACATATCCGTACGATAAAATCACTCCCATTATTTATACGTTGCATCGATGCATACTGCTCCTCCGAAAATGCATTGAATGCTCTAGCACCTGCAAGTGTATCTCACTCCACAAGTGTTATTATAGGAACTTTAAATGTTTAGGCATTTTTATTAGTGCATTCTCTGGATAAAACCACCTACTTGCTGTCACTTTATATTAATACCGTCCCCAGCAGGTTTAAGTAATTTGAATAGTATCAACAGTATATCACTGTGTCACATGACATACGCATTTTGATAGATCTGATTGACATATTTCGGTAATTACTGCTTTGTTGTTCCGTGCTCTCTGTTTTCGTTTTAATTTCTCTAGTTGTAGATATTTATCATTAACTCGATCTGGCACACGAAATGACCTTAATTACACCGTTCATAAATCAACAGGCTGTCCAGTTAAGAAATATCAAATGTTCACGGCTGATGCATTGGATCGCTGTAATACCTAAACAATTACTGAACCAGTAAACTTAAAACTCATATCACATGTTTGTTCTGTACATATTATGATATTATTTATATCAAATTGATCATGCCTGTAAACTGGCGTGAATTCTGTAATTATCATTTTTTCAGAATTATTATTATTAATATAAAGGAGGAGAGTTGAGCATGAGGTTAGCGAACCTATCCCGTAGAAAACTAACTCGCTAAAACAACGCTAACCAGAAAAAATAACTCAAACCATTTAAACTCCGACCTGGGAGTTAGCAGGTTTCATTTAGATGAAATATGACGCCTCAGGGTGAAAGCCGAATTCCTTCCGAAGCCACGAGGCCGATGCCCTTTCTAACAACCAGAGCAACAATCTTTACATGTAAATGGAAAGTCCAGACAATGTGGGAAACCGGGAACGCCATTCAAATAGCGACGGAAATGAGGAGATACAACTTGATAGTACTGGGAATTAACGAAACCCATTGGACCCAAGCTGGACAACAAAGGCTAGATACTAGGGAAATGCTTTTATACTCCGGTCACAAAGAGGAAAATGCTCCACACACTCAGGGAGTTGCTTTAATGCTGTCCAAAGTAGCACAAAATGCACTTGTAGGATGAGAATCTCACGGATCCAGAATCATCAAAGCATCATTCAAAACAAAGAAGGAGGGGATCACAATGAACATTATCCAGTGTTATGCACCCACCAACGATAGCAACGACGACGTTAAAGATCAATTCTATGAGAGGCTGCAATCAATCATAGTGAAGTGCCCAAGAAAGGACCTCACCATTTTGATGGGAGATCTAAACGCCAAAGTCGGAATGGACAACACTGGATATGAAGACATCATGGGACTACATGGACTGGGAGAGAGGAACGAAAACGGACAAAGATTTGTAAATCTGTGTGCATTCAATAAATTGGTCATAGACGGTACAATATTTCCACACAAACGTATACACAAAGCTACATGGATCTCACCGGACCACTCCACAGAGAACCAGATAGATCATATTTGCATCAATAAAAAGTTCCGAAGGACAATGGAAGATGTGAAAACCAGGAGAGGAGCGGACATAGCTCCAGATCACCACCTGGTTGTGGCCAATTTAAAACTGAAGCTAAAGAAGAACTGGACAAACAACGCTGCAAAGGTTCAATACAGCCTTCCTTCGAGATACCGACAAACTCAATGAATTCAAGATATCTCTCAACAACAGGTTCCAAGCCCTACAGGATCTACTGAAGGAAGAAGAAATTACTATGAAGGATAATTGGAAAGGTATCAAAGAAGCATTAACTTCAACGTGTCAAGAGGTTCTGGGCCCCAAGAAGCATCATCACAAGGAATGGATCTCCATAGAAATACTGGACAGGATCAAAGAAAGGAAGATCAAGAAGACAGCAATTAACAATAGTCGAACACGAGCAGAGAAAGTCCAAGCACAAGCTGAGTACATAGAAGCAAACAAGCAAGTGAAGAAGAGCATTAGAGCCGACAAGCAGAAATACGTAAGAGAACTAGCAACGACGGCGGAGAAAGCTGCAAGAGAAACAGATGGGCAGAGTACTTCTAGGAACTCCTGAATAGGCCGGCTCCAATTAATCAACCGGACATCGAAGTAGCACACACAGATCTTCCTATAGATGTCAATCCACCAACGACCGAAGAAATCAGAATGGCCATCAGACAAACCAAGAGCGGGAAAGCAGCACTGAAGTCAGACATCGAAGTAACTACAAGCATGCTTCATCTTCTATTCAAGAAGATTTGGGAGGAGGAACAAGTGCCGATGGGTTGAAAAGAAGGACACCTCATCAAGATTCTTAAAAAAGGAGATCTGAGCAAGTGTGAAAACTACAGAGGTATTACACTACTGTCAATACCGGGTAAAGTCTTCAACAGAGTGTTACTGAACAGGATGAAAGACACAGTAGACGCTGAACTTCGAGATCAACAAGCTGGATTCCGTAAGGACCGGTCGTGCACAGACCAGATTGTCACACTACAGATCATCGTCGAACAATCAATTGAGTGGAACTCGTCACTCTACATCAACTTTATTGATTATGAGAAGGCATTTGACAGTGTAGATAGGAGGACGTCATGGAAACTTCTTCGACACTACGGAGTTCCTGAGAAGATTGTCGACATTATCCGGAACTCATACGACGGACTACAGTGCAGAGTAGTGCATGGAGGACAGCTGACTGACGTATTCCAAGTAAGGACCGGAGTAAGACAAGGCTGTCTACTCTCTCCCTTCCTGTTTCTCCTGGTGGTCGACTGGATTATGAAGACCTCGACATCTGAGGGGAACCACGGCATACGATGGACAGCTCAGAACCAATTAGACGATTTAGACTTCGCAGATGACCTAGCCCTCCTATCACATACACACGAACAAATGCAGATAAAGACAGCCAGCCAGCATATCAGCAGTCTCTGCATCAGTAGGCCTCAACATACACAAAGGGAAAACCAAGGTCCTCAAACACAACACGGAGAACAGCGATCCAATCACTCTTGATGGCGAAACTCTGGAAGATGTGAAATCCTTCACATACCTGGGAAGCATCGTCGATAAACAAGGAGGTTCAGATGCAGACGTCAAGGCAAGGATTGGCAAAGCTAGAGCGGCATTCCTTCAACTGAAGAACAAATGGAACTCAAAATAACTTTCAACCAATATCAAAGTCAGAATCTTCAATACGAACGTCAAGGCAGTTCTACTGTACGGAGCTGAAACTTGGAGAACTACAACAACCACCATCAAGAAGGTACAGGTATTTATCAATAGCTGTCTACGCATGATACTCAACATCCATTGGCCGGATACCACCAGCAATAGCCTTTTGTGGGAGAGAACCAACCAGCTTCCAGCTGAAGAGGAAATTAGGAAAAGATGGTGGAAATGGATAGGACATACATTGAGGAAATCATCAAACTGCATTACGAGACAAGTGCTAACATGGAATCCTGAAGGGAAGAGGAAAAGAGGAAGGCCAAAGAACACATTACGTCGGGAAGTAGAAGCGGATATGAAAGGGATGAATAAGAACTGGAAAGAGTTGGAAAGGATTGCCCAGGACAGGGTTGGATGGAGAATGCTGGTGAGCGGCCTATGCTCCTTCACGAAGAGTAACAGGCGTAAGTAAGTAAGTAAGTAAGTATGTTCTACTATTTCGTAGAGACGACCTTTAAAAACATTACTACTTGTTCAAGAGCGATCTCAGTTAGTTTCCCATCCGTTTACTTACTGCTAAAAAACACGATCAACGTGGGAGGTTCACAGATTAAAACTACTTCGAAAATGAGTCATATGGACGGTAACATTTATAGATTGTGTCCAATTCATTATAAAAGACATGCAACCAACGTGTCTTCAGGAATTCATTAGTATGGCATGCGATTAGTTATCTTTATTTTACATTTTCTTCCAAGTCCAATTAAATTTTTACTGAATCTATGGTAACAAAAGATTCCATGTGAAAATTTACAACACAAATAATAAGCTAAAATTTGTATGAAAGAAGAGAACACAATTTGTTTTGTTCGCCGACACTAGAAAATCCCGGGAACATCAGGAAATCGTTCAAGGCTACTCACGTACATATAGCAACAAGCAATTCGAAATTTCTAAGCGTTTAAGTCATTATCATTAAACAAAGAGTGCGCAACCATCCAAATTATATCAAAGTGGCAGCGAACGGTTACTATTTGGCCTGGATTACTCAAATGCATAGGACAAGTCATTTCATTTAGTCAGTATGGAACATTTAAGAGCTAGCCATATAAATGATTTGACATGTGTCCGACCCTGTTATTTATTCTGATGTAACATATTACAAAGTATTCGTCTTTTGCTGAGTTGATTTTATGCGACATAAATGAGACATAAATAACCAGCCAGCAATGCAAAACCGTTTAGCGATGTAGTGAAAAAAGAGTTGAGGTGAATATAAATCACATATTTTAACAAAAGAGATACAAAAGTCCACAAAGAACTCAGGTGTTTGTTGTATTCGTCACAGGTATAAACCAAGAAGGCACAGCATTCAACCCGAATATCGGCACCGTGTAACTTGACACAGCTGCAACAGCAGCTAAGCCGCCCACTATGTTCAATGGGATCCCGGCCAATAACTATAAAATGGAAAGTATGGAACACATTGAGACAAACAATCTACGAAATCTCTCATCATCTGGTAAAACATACGAAATGCTTGATGAAACCAAACATCACATGTAATCAACTTTACTAGTTGTTCAATTGTGTCGATTGACTATTTGCATAAACTCCACTCTCGTTTGCAATTTTGATCTCGTATTCGGCAGTCAACCAAAACGAAGTGGGGCTTGTTATTTACACTATCATAATCCATGAGGGAGAGCATCTCATTGTTTGTCATTTTTGCTGGCCTAGATAAAAGATGTAAAGTTTTCTACGACAAAAACGTCACTCTGCCACGCTTCGGACGTGTCAAGAGTAGCACAGTCAGTCATGATGGGAGAAAAATTACAACATGGTAAAAGTTACTCGTCCAAATAATTCCATAATAGAATCAATTCCGAGATATTTACAGATGAGTGACGAAATAAACGAAAGCATATTCACAATTACTGATAAATACACTTTTAGATGACTTGAAAACGTAGTGTTCATCTCCAGCCGACGGTCTGCGTAAAGTGACTTAATTCTAAATCCCTAGATTAGTTATAAAAATACTTACAACTGCCTGAAAATCTTGATGTTTTTTAAAAACAGCACATTGAATTGAATTTGTTTATGCGAGTTTAATCGAAGTTTAGAATTGTCTATATGGTATTGTAACTCATATTAGAATTCCAGAAATAAACTTGGCAAGTAGAAAGTCATCAATGTTTAAAGTTCAGTAATGATTTTTATATCAAAAAGTTAAACATACCATATGTTTAACCCGAACTCTTCCTTTGGCAAAAACAATAGTGTTAGGAGGTGTAGCAGCAGGAAGTGCGAATGAATATGAAGTTGCAACAGTTACAGGGAACGCTAACAAAAAGGGATGGATCGCAAGTCCCTCGCACTGCAATAAATAATTTTTTGTATTAGAACAACTGTAATTGTTAAGACATCGATAAAGCGTACACGAGTTGTGAAAAAATGAACGAAGACTGTTGGAATCTATAGGTCATCTTGTCCAGCTGTTCTGCAGTTTGAGCACTCTGACAATTATGATATTAGTAAACAAAAGACAGCCTAGAACATTGCTCTTTAAAAATTAAAATACTCACATGCTGTAGTTGGTAATGTAGACAATGAAGTATTTTTAATTTTTCATAAAATACTAAATTCAGTATGATGAAATAACATACACTGCCTAGAATGTTTCGAAATATAGTTATAAATAAACCTTTTAAGTATATTTCAGAATGAAATTTCACTTTTGGAATTTATAACTGCTCCGCAGAACGAAAAACCATTTCTCTATAATATGACAGTCATCTGAGATAAAATGTGACGAGACAGATCCTAATCTTTAATACGTTAACGTCATGTTCACAACTACTGCGATTGCATATAATACTCACTTGTTATGTATTGATATTTTACATAGTCAAATGTGGACAAAAAATGTATCTCATTGAGCAGTTTGAAACAAAATTGAAAACAAATTCCCCTTTCTCGTGGTTTTTAGTGGTATATTGATTAACTTTCTTCTGAAAGTTAAGAAGTGATCTGTTTTGCATTTATTACATTCAGTGTTGGTCAGCATAATGTTCGAGGTTGGATGTTTTGTTGCATTAGCAACTAATCATCCAGATGCATGTATGTGACAATCTATAAACATTATTCTCTATTATTCTTGGCTTCAGATGACAAAATTATTCACTAACTTACCCAAATGAAGTAGCCAGACTACTAGTTTTAGGAAATCATAGCTTTAAATATGCAATAGATAAATACATAAGAACACAAACATTTAGTAGTATTCAGGTCTACTCAACCAATCACTTTTTTCACTAGTAGCTCATCATTTCGAATTATATTGTTAACCAGTACCAAGTAAAAACAATAACTATTGTCCTTGAAAGAGAAACGTCTAAAACAATATATGATTATTAATGGGTTTTGTTTAAGATCACAACGTTTACATTTTCAGCATCTATCATAGAAGGAATTTGATGTTCTATCTCGCAACAATGCCGACCTAAACACTCATGAAAAGTTTCGAATGTTACATTCAGTAGTGTATTGTTTTGTTAATTGTTTGTGAAGGTCTTTTATGAAGAATAAAAATAATACAGCCAATTCCGTTGGATCACTTAAAACTATAACCATATAACAGAAATGTTAGTGAAATGAGTTCAATGTTACGACGAAGGAAAACTGCAAACCTATCTTGTAAACCATAAAATTTCCTAATACTGTCTGGTCTAGATGTAGAGTAGATAATAATACTGGCCGAAACTGATCCTGTTCGTCATAGTATAACAATTAATTACAGCACTTAATAATTAATTACCTTAAAGTTACAGAAAACTGATTGAAAAGATATGGTAAAAATTCCATTCATCAAATGAATAAAAACCCAATGAGTGACTTACTAAGCCATAAATAATGGGTAAAATAATCGAAGCTGTAGCTGAATTGGATGTGAACTCAGTCATCGCTGCTGCTGTAAGTGTACAGACTATATTTAACATCGTAAATGGAATGTATTTCAGATGCACGCTAAGATATTCTCCAATCACATTCGTCAAACCAGAAGCCTGGATAAATACAGAAATAGGATATGTTTATGGCATGGTATATAGTATGGTAACGTGCTGAGACATTTGAAATGGGTTGCAAGAAAACAAAATTTTCCGGCTCAAAAACTTGTAGACATTCAGCCTAGCTTTTAATTTGAGCTGATCAATTTTATGCAGAACCATGGTGGAGAAGATTTGTAGCTCAGGTGGATGATTTTGATGGAGTTTTGTTCTCTGAGCTGGATGGTTTGGTCGTGGAGCTTTCATCGTTCTTCTGAACGACATCATCAGCACAAACTTCAGATAGAAGTCTTCAGATAGAACAAAACTCCATCAAAATGCAGAGCCATAGGAAACAAAAATGAAAGCTAGATAATATCTGGTTCTTTGCTGACAAAATAATATCAAGAAAACGTATCTATTTATCATTACAACTGACCTGCATTACAGTTGCCAGCGCGAATCCTCCTCCAACCACCAAAATTACACCCCACGGGAACTTCACCAATGCTACCTTCCAGGGAAGAAGGACACGGGTTATTTCTGGGTCTGGCTCTAGAACACATAATTAAGATAAAATTTTGGTGTGTTTTCACTTTACTGTTCTACATGAACTTTTGACTGTTATGTAACTGCTATTTGATACTTGAAGACTTCTAATAAATTTGTGATAAATTAGAAATGATACAAGTCAAATGACTAGTAATCCTATTTTTAACAGTAATGTGCTAAGAATGCTCAACAGACATAATGTTTCAAACTTTCAGTTACAGTTTATCACTACAAAAAGTTATTTTACAGTTCTTTGATTTAAAAGAACAAGAAAATCAATATATTTCAGTACACAGTGGGATTATTTCGGTCGTCAAATATGCATACTAAGAAGAGTTTATAGACGTTTTTAACTCCAATCATTATAACTGCATCTACTTCATTGGATGGTTATCGTAACGCCAAGTTATTTTGAGACTTCCTAATTTTTTTTCATGAATCGTTGGGGTAATCGAATTACCACTCTAATTATCGCTAAAATTATTACTGAAATAACGACGTTGTCTGAACCACAAAATTTTGTCGTTAATATTTGCTCAACTCCTAGTCGTAAATATTATCAATATTCATTAACCCAATAAGCTGTTGTCCTCAGACTCAGCACTATCATGAAACGAATTCAGAAAAAGAATATGTTGTAAAGTTTACTAAGTAAATTATCATAGGTATAAGTGAAATCAAAGTAAAATATTTGCTGATTGCGTCTACTCAGAATGAATCACTGGTTCTGTATGCAAAAAAAAGACAACATTTTAATCTCTTCAATTAAAAAAAAACATTGCAAAAACCTTGTTCTTGAGCCTAAGCATGCTGATATTTTAAAGGTAGTTTGTATTTATCATCATATGAAAAATGTTAGAACATTTAAATGTACATAACCTTGTTTAACTAGACTCTCAAAATCTCAACACATGACCAAAATGTCGTTATCTTGTTTTCATTTGTTTAGAAAAATCTGTATGTGTAAAGAATTACATGTTCCAGTGTAGGCTGGTTCGCATAGCTATCTGTTTACACACTAATAAAATAACCAATTTATATTCAACAATACTCACCAGTTTTAGTTTTGTAACAATTTTTCCAATGTTTCCAAAGCTTAACTGGATTAGTTGCTGGTAAGATCAGTGTCATGATAGCCATTAAGATAGCTGGGGTGCTGTCTGTTATGTATTTTCTTGTAAACAAATCACAAACAGACAGAAACCATTATTAATTCGTCATCATTTACTTAACTTACATATGAAATTCAGATTTAATTAATCACGCTTACTATATATCGAAATACAATTTTTAAATCAACGATAAGTACATACATTTTCAAATAAATTCATAAAGAATTGTTAATTTAAGTCTTGTACTTCATAGATTCTCTGATGGGAGTATAAATAATAGCCAGAAATTTCAATATTTCCATTTCATGAATTTAAAGCAATTAGTCCCTTTGATGAATTTCGATAATGTAATAAGATGTAGATTATCAGAACTATGTGATATATTAGCACAATGCATTTCGAACAATCTGATCACACATACATCTCATGAATGTTATCACTATATCTTCTTGATTATTATTAAGAACAATACCTGGGTACAAAAACTAGATTTTCAGTGCTCTGTCATTTATAACCCTTGCAAAATCCAGGTTTTCCTATTTATCCAGTCTTAATTATTTTTTAAAAACTTGATAAGACTATTTTGTCAATCATAACTATCATGTGATTACTTGTTTGATTTTATTAATCATTAACCAAGAGTGCTACTAAAATATTCTGCGTATAGTACAAATAATTATTTCAGTTTGCAGTTTTTAGTTAGACATACATAATTCATTAACCAGTAGAAATATTATACGACTTCCTTAAGTTTTATGAGAGTAACTAACACTCGCTGACATCTTAACACACTGCACTGAAAAATGTACAAACTATTAAAGATAATGATCAGTTTTACAAGATGTAGCAATGGATCGTAGCAAAGTATCCAGGAAAGGACCTGACCATCCTAATGGGAGACCTAATCGTCAATGTCAGAATGGACAACACAGGATATGGAGATGTTATATTACGACATGGACTGAGAGAAAGGAACGAGAATGGTGACAAATTTGTACATTTATGTCCATTCAACAAAATAGTTATAAATGGCACTAGCAACGACGTCAGGAAAAGCTACAGCAGAAGGAAATAAGAGACAAATATATTACACAACGAAGAAACTAGCAGGACAACATAGGAAATCAGAGAGATCAGTAAAGGACAAAGAAAACAAGACGATCACTGAGATTCAAGAACAGAAGAACAGCTGGGCAGAACACGCAACTGGACGGCATCATTGATGAACGAAGAGGATCTGATGCAGACATGAGGGCAAGGATTGGCAAAGTAAGCGACGCATTCCTACAGTTCAAAGAAACATATGGAGCTCAAAACAACTGTCAGTCAACATCAAATTGAGAATTCTGAATTTGAACGTCGAGAGAGTTCAGTTGCATGGAGCTGAAACGTGGAGAACGTACACGACCATCATCGAATTGAACAAGTATTTCAAAACAATTGTCTACTCAAGATACTCAATGTCCGTCGACCGGACACAATCAACAACAACCTACTCTGGAAGAGAACAGATCAGCCTCCAGTTGAAGAGGACATGTAATGAGGAAATTACCAATGTGTATCACGGGGCAAACGCTAACTTGAAATGTTGAAGGGAAAGGAAGAAGAGGAAGATCGAAGAACACACTGCGTCGGGAATCGGAAACAGTCATGCGAAGAATGAATATCAGTTATAAACAACTGGAAAGGATTACCTATGACAGATTTTAAATAGCGAATCATGATGAGCGGTCTATGTTTCTCCACGAGTGTAAAGTGGAGTAAGTAAATATTGATCACTTTGTGTACATTTAGCAAATCGAAAGTGTAGATGTCAGCATCAAAACCAGACAACGACCCAACATAAATTAACTTCAATAAGCTCAATGATTTTCGGTTCCCAAGATGTATGATAGTCTTCAAACACATGATATTTGATAAAGCCATTTCTAATCCTGCCGTAGTTTCCGGCATTTAATATCTAGCATGCTTGACTGCATTTAAAATATTGGATGCAAGTGGTAGTAAAATCATACTATTATCCTTTTTTATTAAGTTACCACGGCTTCTCTGTCCTGTTATTTCAAATGATCACGTCAACCAGAATAGCTTCATTATTTTGGAAAACAATTGTTTATCAAAGCCCTTTACTACTTAATTAAAATTATTAAACAAAGCCAAGTGTAATGAGATCGGTTGCGCTAGTTCACTCAATATTCCGACCTTTTGGGGAATCCAAAAACGGAAAATGATGATTAACAACTTCCAGAGTAGACAGACGACACAGAAAGAATAATATCTGCAGCTGAATTTTGTTTGTTTTAGTTGGATCTGCACTTTAGCAGGAAGGAGAAGAATGGAGATTAACATGATGATAATGCGATTTCTTAAAATGTGACCTGACCTGACTTACAAGCAGCAGACTTTTTCTGCGTTTATACGTCTACAGTTGAATCTTTAGACTCCTCAATTGTACTTGAGCAAAATCGTCTAGCTGATAATATAGCTAGTTCTTAGTTGGATTCGGAGCATAATGGATTTAAACTCAAAGAAAGGTAGTAAAAGTTGGGTTTCTCTTGAAGTTGTTTGTTCCTTTGTACATATTTTCTAGTAACGTCGTAAACGAAACACCAATGCAAGAAAGCTAACCACTTATTAATGATTCATCTCAAGCTCTTAGTTTGAAACAAGGTACATTTTTACTGTTACAAAGATGTATGGTTACCATCCATTCAGTAAACATGTGAAATTTTCTGCTTGTAAGTATTTGACGTGAGCTTAAAGTATTCGAGTCTGAGACAAATTAATTATTCGTACGTTTATGTACATTCAGTTTAATTGTCTAATTTGAATATTAATTCAAAATCGTTAAAGACTGTAATTTGAAGTTAGACATTAACACCATCTAATGCATGCTCAGTTGTCTAAAGGTTAAGCATTCGATGAGAAAATGAAGGTCCTGGGTTCGGGCCCCACGTAAGGGATATTGAATGCGCACTGCTGAGGAGTCTCGTGCGAGGACGAAACTGCTGTTCAGTGCTTCCAGATTTTCAGTGGAGGTCAAACATTGATCAGTTTATGATCTCTATTAAAACTGCAATTTGAATCGGTGCATATGATTTAATGATTATGATTATATTGTATGGACTGGAGATTGTAAAAGGCTATTGACCTAATGAAGTAGTGAATTAGGAGCCTAACGAAGTCAAAGTAAACGCGTTAAAAAGATATGTAATCTTTTAAAGATAGAGTTAGTTTGATGTTATATTACTTTTCTAAGTTATGAGAAGGCTACAATATTTCTTTAGCTATTAAGGTAAGGTGAGTAAGAACGATGATTGGTGCAGAATAATATGAATTCATTTTATTTCGTTAGGTTCTGATCAGCTGCTTACAACCTATAGTATTTTTAAACCAACGTTATTACAGGTATTGCCATACTTATACATAAGAGGGTGATTAAAGATGAATATATGTATAATGATGTAGCGAAGATTTCAACTGAGTTAATAAGATCATAAAAATGTTGTTTCGGATAAGTAAAGTTTGAGAGGGAAAGTTCCAGAACATTGAATTAGTGATTAGAATGCATGAAGTTAACAAATATTAGATGATTGTGTAAAGAAGTAACTGAAAACAGAATAATGGTAATAAAGAGAGATATGAATTGAAATCAGCCAATTATAAATTAAAAATTGACAGTGACGTCATCCAAACGTCAGAAAGAGTTGAAATAATGAATGTTGCAATAAAAAGGTCTAAGGTCAACTGGATTAAAATGATTCAGCAGTACCATCATGAGACATCTCATTGATATAGGACATTAAATGGACATACTGAAGTCTTTCAAGGTGATTAGTAAACAGTCGGACCCTAATCTCCAGAAATTTGCCGAAACTATAGTGATCAAACTTCTACAACCAGAACTATGCATGCAAAAAGAAACAGTAAAAAATCTTTCTTTGCCCTGATAATATTTCATCCTTTTTATTGCATCATCCATTATTTCAACTTTTTCTGAAGTTTTAATTGCATCATTCTCAATTTCATTTAATTCATAATTGACTGTTTTTAACTCATATCTTTACTACCATTTCTATGTAAATGAGTACCATGTTCAAATTGAAGTCTCAATTCTTCCATTTATAACATGTTAGTGTGATAGTGTCAAAATCAGTATGTCTCGACTTTTCAAAATGTACTAATTTGTATCCTTTGATCGAGTTTAAATTTCGAACATGTGATTTTGTCTTTTCACTGTTAAAAAATACTCCTACCGTGTAATAACAAAAAATAACAAAAGAAATTCAAGACGCCAGGGAATATTTTGTATGAATAGAATGTCTCTGTCTTACATAAGTTTATGCTCTCGAAAAATACATATAAACTAACAAACTAATCTTCGAAAGATAACAAGTTTACGTTTTAACCAGAATGAACACTGGTTTACCACATCCAGTGTCAGAGGACTCAGCCATATAATCGGTTACTAGTAGTAATGAACAACTTCCTGTAATTCTAGATCTTTGTTTTTGAAACACAATGTAATCAAACTTATTTCAGTAAAGAACTGAGAGCAACTCACGATGTTTTAGGATCAGAGGGGTCAACAAAAAGCTTCCCCCATCCTGATGACCCAATATTTCGCGTCATCCATAATGTTGTAAGCAATAGGAAAAGAGCGCCAGACAGAAATTCACAATATCTAGTACAAAAAAGCAAAACTTTTAATTTTCAACCATTTAAAATATTGTTCAATAAAAGAACAAAACGAATAGACTAAGTTGTAGAACACTTTAAAACCGTTGATGAGTAATTTGACATTCCGAAAAAACTCCATCAATATTTTTTTCGACGATATCATTCTTTGAAGCTGTATAATTGTATATCATCAAATATTGTCAAACTTACACAAGTATCAGGCGTTATAGTCTCTGAAAATGAAGTGGTGTTGTTTTATATGACCAAAATTACCAGAAGATTTCATGCATTGAAGATAATAATTTAAAAATGGAAGAGTATTATTTCAACCAAAATAAAGTTATCGAAAGTTCTCAAGTATTGAATAAAATGGGTTTTGCATCATATAGCACAATAATAAAAAATATCACGAACTGAAGTTGTGTAATAGTTTAGGAATAATAACAAAAACTGTGTATTTTACAAAGTAGTAGAAGAGTAAGACTCGGGTGAGTGCTAAGACAATGAAATAATAAGAGACTGAACATGCTCTTTTAGTAAACGGAGATCGGGTTTGAAATGGTAGATTGCTACAGCCTCGACTGTGCGAAAATTCCTGATCCAAACCATTTTTGAACCAGTTTTTATCGGACGACGATTAATATGATTGGATGTGACCAAAGATGACCATGTGTTCAAGTATTAAAACATTGATCGATTTAAATTGTTCTTATATAGTCATACAGGATAGTGCTCGGATATTCGCTTTCCAAGTCCACGCTTTGTTCATTTAAAGTAACTTCTTCGACAAGAGTTAATAAACTGATAAATAGATATTGAGGTGGCCCAAAGTGGCAGTTTGTCCTTGACACTTTCTTGAATGAGTTTCATGCTAAAGAAAACAGCTCTCAGCTTTGCTGAATAAAACGTCCTTTTCAGAAATCTAGATAGTCTGGTCTTTGATAGCTCAATAGACATGTCTCCCTCGAATTTAACGTTTAGCGATAAAACTTTCTTCGGAACTATGAGAGTTCATTCAAATCGACGTTTTGCTTCTAGATTACTATCAATGAACCTGGGAGCGAAGCCATTTTGTAGAAGTGTTTTTTGGATCATATTTAGCTCATCAACAAATGTTTCTTCAGAACATAATCTTCTGGGTCTTGAGGATAGAGAATGTATTAAATTTATCTTTCTACTCAGTGGCACACAACTTTTTATATTTTTATAATTCCCATTACAGGGCTCCTTTCCATATATAGTAATCGTTGAAAAGATCTATCTGATTTTAATTTTATTAGAACATCAATAAACTGGACTTCTGCATTCAACTCCGCTTCCATTGCGAACGTTATCAAATGGTGACGATCAATTAACTCTCGTACTATTTTACTAAGGTCACTGTCTTCGTCACAAATGTGATAAAAGTATCACTCATATATCTCTTTCGAAAAAAATTGTTGATTGTTGCTTGAACGATAGTGTTAATGTTAGCCATAAAATGGTCTGCAACAAGACGACCAAATGAAGATCTCATCGTGATACCATTAATTTGACCATAGATACGATCGTTAAATTTAAATTACATGTTAAAAGTGCGGCTTAGAAGTAGTTCTTCGGCGAAATGTTTTGGTACCCTGACGTTCACGTTGTTAAGGTCAATATGATCGCATCAGAAACAAATAGTTTGTATGAGAGGAACATCTGTGAATAGAGGAGTAACATCTAACAACACTATTTTCGTCCCCGATACATTGAAGGTGGTTATTGAGTTCAAGAAAATATTGAGTAATCGTTAATTAGTTTTTAAGCTGGAAGTTTTATTCATCATAATGAATAAAGTTATGGTGTCAAATCATTTGTTTGTAAACATCTCTAATTTCTTAGTTGTCTCAATCTTTTTTAGTTAAACATAGCACATTCAGTAAAACATATACTTCAACACGTTAAAAGAGTTTGAATATTCAGTTTTATCAATGTTTATATCGTTAATAAATGAATTTTATAGTCATTAGGCTCTTTTATTTGAACTAACAAACAATGTTGATGACCATTGCTCTTCTTGAAAAATGTAAACTGTAAGGCAAGAAATAATTTTATATTGGCTAATTTTGAATTTTTGTTGATAACTTAAAAATGGCATTGACCTTTAGGATTAATTAAACTTTTTCTATACGATAATTTTAATTGTCAGAATCTTCAGACTGTTCACTTGCACAGGTTTTCATTAAATACTTCCAAATAATTCTTTTCAGTTTGGCACAATGAACTAAATCTTAGGCTTTAAATTAGTTAGCTGTTTGTTCACTGCTCATCATGAAGTTTTGGGATAACTGGAATAAAAGTTTACATTACAATATGTTTTTAATCATCAATTAACTTACTTGATTGATCCAAGTTTCTGTTGTTCTGCTTCTAATATATGGGCTAACCGTTCTTTCCTTCTTTTCGACTGCTTAAACTTACACAAACTTCTAGATAAAGAAATTGAACCAAAAAAATGTATCGTATTGAGTCATTTTCAGACTTCACATATTCATCTAACTAGATTGCAGCTGACACAAAGTAGGTGAACTTCGAAAAATCTGCTGTCAAGTATAATTCAAAAGTATTTTTTAGTTGATTAATTTGATGGTTCAACTGTAGTAATAAATTTATCAGTTATGTAAAAATGTACATCTGTTCTTCAAATATGTTGGTGAGAAAATTTAGTGTTTAATCTTAGCTTTAGGAAATAGGCATTTATCTATATCATGAAGTTATAAAGTTTGGATTAAGCGAGTAACTTAGTGTGAACAAAGGAAAGTTATGTATGTTCTAAATTTGCTTTCTCGTTTATTTCCTAATCAAAAAGTGAATAGTTCATGTAATGACTAAAGCATATTCTAGTCAATGAAAAAACTATTATCATTTTTCCTTTAACGACTTTCATACAAGAAAACTTGTAGATTTCGTGTTGTTGAATGGTTCAAATTACAACCTACAACAAATAGACGTCTATAATCGTTAAAAAGATCAAAGATATTATTATGGTCTTAATCATCTATTGAGCTTCTAATTCTGATGTCTTAAGTAGTTAAAGCCTTGTGAAAATGTATTATTCTTTCAAAATACTGGGTAAAATAGGTAAATATGTAGTACTCACAAAGATGAAATCTCTAAAATTTATTTGCAGATACGTTAATAATAATTTGTAGTCATAAAACTCAAAGCTAGTTTGAAAAGACATGACTTCTTTTGAGTGATTTCGTTTCAATCAAAATCATTGAGAATAAATAACTGGATTAAAATCTTTTTTTAATAGAGTGTCAGTAATGAGTTAAATCCGGTCGGTCAAGTAGTTGGAAAACCACTTTTCTGGAGTAAAGCTCACAAATGTAGAGTTTCGAAAACTTGAACACACATAAGTGTTGTGAGTATGAATATCGTTTAGTTTCATTGAAGTCACGAATTGATCTAACTTCCAAAACCATTAAAAACCATGCATGAGTTGATTAACGTAAGACTTGTTCACATAATCAGTGACCTAGAGCTTAGGTGTTCATTAGCGAAACTGAAACTCTTGAGTTCGATTCGCTGGTGGGGGTCATGGATCAGAAGTGATAAAAGGTAGCATAATAGGTCGGTAAGGTCGTTTAGTGCTTTCAGTTTTTCAATAACTATCCAAAATAAATCGATTCGTAAATTCAACAAAAATATTTGTTTGTTTAAATATTTTTCAGTAGGGTCCATCAAATATCCTCGTTCAAGATTGTATGACTTAATACCACTTAGTATGCAGCCGCTTAAGACAATAACCAAATGTAATAAACTGTAGGCTAACACAAATTTGTGACGGCTAAAGGGTACTCAATGATAGAAATCACAACCAACTAACTTACTTACTCCAGCTTACACTCGTGGAGAAGCATAGACCGCTCATCATGATTCGCTATTTAAAATCTGTCATAGGTAATCCTTTCCAGTTGTTTATAACTGATATTCATTCTCCGCATGACTGTTTTCGATTCCCGACGCAGTGTGTTCTTCGATCTTCCTCTTCTCCCTTTCCCTTCAACATTTCAAGTTAGCGTTTGCCCCGTGATACACATTGGTAATTTCCTCATTACATGTCCTATCCACCACCAACGTCTTCTCGTAATTTCCTCTTCAACTGGAAGCTGATCTGTTCTCTCCCAGAGTAGGTTGTTGTTGATTGTGTCCGGTCGACGGACATTGAGTATCTTGAGTAGACAATTGTTTTGAAATACTTGTTCAATTCGATGATAGTCGTGTACGTTCTCCACGTTTCAGCTCCATGCAACTGAACTCTCTCAACGTTCAAATTCAGGATTCTCAGTTTGATGTTGACTGACAGTTGTTTTGAGCTTGTAGTGTCTGTCATTATGTTAAGCCCAAATACCTTATTATTCTAACTTTTGGACAGCCCATCCTATTCATTCTATTGAGTCACATTCTGACCTTGTTAATTATTCGCTTATCAATATCTTGACCGTCTTTATATGAGCGCGTCGGTGTATGTACACTTCTTATCCTATTACTCATCACATGTCTGTAATTTATTTTTGTGTGCTTATAAATAATGATTAACGCTTGGATAACAGGGAGTTGACTTACCAGCCATCTCCACCGCGCACCAATTTAGCTTCGCTTTGTCATCTTCGCGTCGTTCCTCCGTTCGTTTATCTAATCAACAATTATACAAAATTTATGTATCCAAAGTTCCATTCTTATTTAATTCCGTTATTAACTAACGCGATTTAAGTCAATGATTATATACGAGGATAGGCGATAGCAATCATTCATACGATCAAATTGGAATCAGATCTCGGGCCACTAGAAGCTCCATATGTTTCCTTGAACTGTAGGAATGCGACGCTTACTTTGCCGATCCTTGCCCTCATGTCTGCATCAGATCCTCTTCGTTCATCAATGATGCCGTCCAGTTGCGTGTTCTGCCCAGCTGTTCTTCTGTTCTTGAATCTCAGTGATCGTCTTGTTTCCTTTGTCCTTTACTGATCTCTCTGATTTCCTATGTTGTTCTGCCAGTTTCTTCGTTGTGTAATATAGTTGTCTCATATTTCCTTCTCCTGCAGCTTTTTCTGACGTCGTTGCTAGTGATGACTGTCAAACGCTTTCTCATTGTCAAGAAAAGTGATGTATATTAAAGTAGTCAATTCAATGATGATCCATAGCGTCTCGGTTTGGTCAGTGAACGACGATACTAACGGATTCCGGCCTGCTGATCTCGAAGTTGGGCGTCTAGTGAATTTTTCATCTGGTTCAGCAACACTTTGTTGAAAACATTTTCTGGTACTGATAATAATGTGATGTCTCTATAGTATTCACACTTGCTCAGATCACCTTTCTTTGATATCTTGATGAGATGTCGTTCATTCCAGTCTGTCAGTACTTGTTCCTCCTCCCAAATCTTCCTGAATAGAAATGGAGCACACTTGCTGTTGCTTCTGTGTTTGACGTTAGTGCTTCAGGTGGCACGTTGTCAGGTCTTTCTGTTTTCCCACCCGTGATTTGTTTGATGGCCACCCTGATCTCTTCGATTGTTGGTGGAGTGACACATATAGAAATGTCTATGTGTACTGTTTCGATGTCCAGGGGGTTCAGTGAGACTGGTTTAACTTATATGCATAACACTATAATATAAATGGCTTCATGTCTTACTTTGGACCGAAGAACAAAATGATAAGCCAAATCCAGACGAACAGGAACATGAAAGCTGAAAGCGGAAGTGCGTAAGCCATCCAAGTACCGAAATTCAAACCAGTTGAATCACCGTATTGACTGAGCCAAGTAGCAAGTTGAAAAGTAATAATAAGTTGATAATTTAAACTAATGACCATGATAAATGACATTTATAAGACATATAAACATGATTTCTATCAACTAATATTTTCGAAATTTATTCTACAATGCATGATTTTTAATTTAGTACTCGCCTTACCCAATAGCTTTCATTCGGAGAGATATTTCAAACATACATCTGAGATTATAAGAAGTTTTGTATTTTCTTCTCATAAATAGTTTTCATTTGAATGGATAGTTAAATAAGAATTAGATAGGCGGTATGTCCTCATACTTGTTAAATAGGTTTCAAAAACTAATATCTGATATAATGTAATTGATTTACTGATTTCGATTTCTTCTGTGGTGATACTGCTATAGTAATAACTCAATGGTCATATAAATACGCATTATAATAAGGTATTTGCTTTCCGAAATCTTTACTCTATGTGAATACTTTATAAGCAGTACGGTAGCTGATAGGCAGATATTAGCTAATAAACTCTAAGTTTGAGAAGAAACACCCAGAGCACATGAAACAACAAAATATTTTAAAGCATGTAGGTAAAATAAAAATTTGTCGGAAGGCTTTATGAAGATAACATGAGGAACTATTGGACTCTCGGAAGCTTAAGTTATAAAGTTTATTTCATCATTGAACTGTATCCCGTTATTTGTATTTAAAAGGTGTATAAAGAAATAATAGTGAAAAGAGTAAAATTATTTCCAATATATTAAGTGATTTCTTCAGCAACGACCATAATTATATGGAATGTATCTACATATAGCTTTATTTACAAAAAGAGTTAATGAGGACGTAAATTTGATGAATACGGAGTTGGAAAATAAGTTTTACTGTAAAATATCTACAATAAGAAACTAATTTATGGGATCATCTTTAAATCTGTGAAAAAGAGAGTTTTAAAAAAAACCAAATCAGTGAAATATACTCAATAGTAGTTTAACTGTTGATTGACCGATACTAATAAAATTAGAAACATAATTGTCAAAATCTTACTTTAAGGTAATCCCTTGTAGAATGGAGTTAGGTGGAGTACCTATGATTGTCGCTACACCTCCAATTGAAGATGCATAAGCAATACTGAGACTAAATCCAATACTCATTCGGTTCAATTTCGATTGTTCACTTGAAGCTTTAGACGTTGCAACGGGATTATGGTATTGTACAAAGTTGGTATTACATACATGAGAATCTTGTCCATTACTAATTTCAGGCTTCACTGAACCTAAAGTTGATTCATTACTGAATAAAGAAAGTACAATTCGGATAGATTTCATCTCCTCAGCCAACTATTACAAAATGAAAGATCTGATATATAACTAAATGTTATTCTAAAATTAAAATAAGTCTGATACAGTGATGTGCCAGATGTGTCAGCAAATTAGAACGATAGGTATACTTAATAATATAGTACAATTCTGCAAATTAATCAAAAATAGACAGATAATAGATGTAAACTGAGGTGAAATTTTGATTCTGTTAATAAGATATTTCTTAGGATAGTGTTGATTTTTGATTTATGGACAAAGTACACCACTAACCAGTATTGATAAGTGCGATACAGCAATTGTTTTTGTGATCTGTGAAATGTGTTTGATTGATAGTAATTAATACCCATATCTGGAGGCTGTCAATGGAAACGTTGGAAGCCATTAGAAGGAAATAAACCTTGCTTAAAAAAGCCTTCAGACAGCAGTCCTAGTGTCTACTGGAAGGTTTAAGCATTTAAAAAGATATGATGAATTCCGGACAAAACACTTTGTCACCACAGTTTTCCCCGGGTATACGGAAATAAGTTCACTTGACGGGGAATGCCGTATTTTGTTAAAGAAGCCATGTGTTTAAGTCTGCTGATAAGTATACCAAACAATTGTTAACTACTAGTGAATATCGTTGCTGTTCAGTTCGCACGAGGAAAATAAACGAGCATTTATTTCAATTTCTCATCGCTTGAATTTATTGCACTTCCGGTATATAGGCAAAGTAATGATGATATTTTAGATCTTCACAAAATCTGTCGTCCATTTCATGACGTCATTTATCTACTTAGTCTCAACGTTATTGTTAGATTGCAGTAGGGAGCAACTAATTTGAACGACCGAATTGTTTAGTTAAGCGGTATTTTACATCAAACATTTACAAATTTTATAGCTATTTGTCCGCCTATACATAACTTAATTTAGGTGTACAGGTTCCCCACTTTTTTCAAATATACATGAAATTAATCATTTGTTTCTTGTAAAATAGTTTGTCAATTAATATAGCGCTAGTACACAAGCGAAATACTTATCGGTTTATCATGAGACTATTTATCTAATATACAATAGAAGGTACTATGTGATAAAAACGACAAGGTGAATATGAGATTTTTGCAACTGATTTTAAAGTAAAATTGGATATAGATCAACTTGGAAGTTACACTGGTACATTTACTAATGAATACATTGTTATTCTAATACTTGATTAATGTAATCAAAAGTCATCGAGTAATACTACAATCAGAGTAGGTTTTTTCACTACATTTATTTAAACCACTGGATGAATGAACGAATAATCGGTAAGTATTAATACAAAGGTTAGATTTGATAATTTCAAATAAATTGGGCATTGAGTGAAAAGCTAATGATAAATATATTTTTTGTGATATCCCAATGAGTAAAAAACTATATTTTTGACATTTCGTGACATAATTTAAGCCACTTCTTTGGAGTAAATCAATAACCAAAATTACTTATTTACTTTGAAGAAGCGGCTTACATTAAGTTACGAAACGTCGGAAATACAGTTTTTTTACTCATTGGGATATTACAAAAAATATCTTTATTGTAAATAATCAGTGTAAGATTCTATATCAAGCTCACCAAACCAGCAAGCGAAAAACTCAGTATTCAGTAGAACATGCATTTTTAATAGCATGGTTTGCCTCCTTTTATGAGATTTTCAAGCTCAAATAAATGAAAGTACAAAATGATTTACCTGTCATTATGTTCTTCTTCATCTGCTTCATCTGTAGATGATCAAGTATATAAATAGTATAATTAGAAACTTAAATAAGCAAAATCTATGTACTTTGTGTATTAAAAGCATTTTAGGTGAATGATCGTAATTAATGGTTCTAATTAAACACTTCCTAAATGTGCTGGTGCGGCCGAGAGTGGGAAGAGTTCACTAACCCTCTCGAAATGCTCTCAAATAGCTGCACCTATACAGCCACTGCCAGGAAAGTCCTACTCACTGCCTTTTCGCGGCGAGAGTCTTGTCTACGAAATTGAAAGAACGAAAAGCAAATGTTCAGCGCTTTGACCGGGTTGGTGGACATGCAGGATCCACCTAGAGGAATTGAAAAACTGATTCTAAACCACTGATTCACATGGGCTTCAGGATCCTGAAGGAACAAATGGCGAATAAACCAATTATTGGTCACTGGATACCATGGAATTGCATCTCATGACGTTGCTTCACTGCCTTGTGGATCAGACCTTCAGGTCGAAGGCTCAGGTTGTGGCCCCCTAAGGAAAGCACCTTTTTCGGTCTGACTACCCCCGCAGTATCACAGCTCACACACAAATCAAGTGACTTATGTGGTGCATATGTATTCGGTGCCCCTTTGTACCAATATTTATGTTCAAATAAATAATAAATAATAAAACTCAAAAACAGATCTCAGGTAATTAACCCAAAGCATGTCGAAACGTAAGTGGCGAATATGAAATAGATGTATACGATATCATATGAATTTGTGGAAATATATTTGTTAGATATCCCATGTTTCATTGCTTATTATATAAATCAGTAAACGTGCATTCAATCTATTATAATAAACGTACTGTAATCATGGAAAAAGTAAGTGAAGGAAAAAGCAGCTTAACTGAATAAATCCGGTGATGACTGAATATTTCAACCACAAATTCACACACTGTTTCAGTTGTGCTGTCACGTTTCTTCGCATTTAGTGTTTTAAAGCAGAGCCTCCCATAGGTTGTAGAAGCTTAAGAAAGTTATCATAACAACTCCTTAATTAAATCATAGTGAGTGTCCAATCAATAATGTGAATTAACTTGTATATGTAGATAGATTAACCTGAAATGATCTCTGAATCCTTAAGACAATTTGTACGTATGTGCTGATATTAAATTGATATTTAATGTTTATTCAGCCTTAAATCTATTAATCTACTCTTCTTTACTAAAGGAATAGTCACTATAGTCGAATCTATAAACTAAACTTCTTAACTATTATAGAATTCAGTGTCATAGGTTTTATCTAACGTTTTTTAGGACTTGTTCTCCGTATTTCGTAAATACAAGGAGCAAACTATATACAAAGTCTAGAATCTACAACAACGTTTATGCTTATAACCTCAAGTTCATGCATGAAATATGATTTTGGCCAGTAGATTGAAACGTAATAAATATTACAAGAAAGAAAAATGCATAATTAAAATTAAGACATCATACAAAAATATTTAAGCTAAAATTGTGACCAAGAACTGTAATAATTACTACGTGTTCGAACGAACTAATAAATCTGTTGATACAATGTAAGCCTAAGAATCGGTATTTTATATGAATCATTAGTTGCTAAAATTAGATATTTTGATCTGAGAAATATTTTAAGTTCGAAACTTGTTACTGATGATGATCAATCTTTTATATATAATTTACAATCCAACTTATCATTAGTTTAAGGTACTAGATGATGAGCTTTGTCCAAGCCAAACTGGTTGCATTTTCACCAGTAATGTTTCCTATTGTACTTTAAAAATGTTGATTAAAGATTTCTTATAAGTTGACCGTTTCGTTTTAACAGTAATAATAAATCTTCATGGAGCCCTTTATAGACCATAAAATAATCATTGTTAATTGATAGAAATGACGCCTTTCTCCACAAAAGTTATTATTCATCCTTTAAATATCTAAATGAATGACTTTTTCGATTTTATTATCTTTCACCTATAAATCTTTTTGCTGACTATAAGTTATTTGCAATTTTTTATGAATCACCGTCGCTTTATGGTCTCTGTCCAGCTAGTTTCTTACGGAACCATTTTTATTTGATAAGTTGATCTTACAAATAGAAATAAAAGATTGAGCTCATTACGTCAAAGTTAAATGATTGCCCGTTTTTTTTAATATGGCTTAATAACTACTAATATAGATTGTATGAAAGATTTAATAAATAAGTTCCATTACCAACTTTCATCAAATCGGTCAATAGTGGATCCACAATTGTTATCATCATGGCTGTAGTAGCAGTATTGCTCATCCACATAGACAGAAACCAGCTAGGTAACATAAAGCCGAACATAAGCCTGCAAAATAGTAAATTATCATCAACCAAACATGTAACTAGTGAGTCTTTCATAAAATAAATATGAATGGTAAGTTAAAACAATAACATCTTAATTGAAAGCGCGAAGATTCAAACAAATCTTTCATGTTACTGATATCACAAACCGATCGAAGTCGGACAACAACTGAAAAAACTAAAAGCATTGAATGACCCGTTCGGCCTGTTATGTTAATCTTCAGCAATGCTCATCCTCGAGCTCGGAAGCGATAATCGAACTCAGGACCTTCAGTCTCACGAGTGAATACTTAACCTATAGATCACTGATCCTATCATAAATGGTGTACAAGTTTAACTTTCATCAATTAAAAAATTTCGTACAACCATTTTTCATTGTCTTCAGTGGGTAACGTCTTCATGTCCTACACGACACACTTTTCACAATGAAAGACGGTTGTACAACATCTTGGATTGGTGGAAGTCTAACTTGTACATCATTCATGATAGGATCAGTAATCTATAGGTTAAGTATTCACTCGTGAGACTGAAGGTCCTGAGTTCGATTATCGCTTCCGAGCTCGAGGATGAGCATTGCTGAAGATTAACATAACAGGCCGAACGGGTCATTCAATGCTTTTAGTTTTTTCAGTTGTTGTCCGATTTTGGCCGGTTTGTAATATCAATAAAATTCAAATGTCCCCTCAACTCTATGCTAATGTATTGTCAAAGATCTTATACGTGAGTTCATCTGAGACTTATTGTAAAGGTAGTGAGAACTGTTCAACATAAAATTAAGTTCTTTAAGATACTAATAAAAAATATGGCTTCCGTTTACTAATCGGTGTTGTGGTAGCAAAGTGATACATGTTTAATCGAAATTAGTTTTTAAAAGTTCTACTTACTGAATGAGGCAAGATTTATAATACAAAATGTATCCTCGAATATATGAATCTAGTACATGTCAGAAGTAAATTCAAGATAATAATTGTGACTGCTCGACTTTTATCAACATTATTCCTTGGACACCATTATTTTAAACAACCAACTATCGTTTCATCAGGTAATTCATTTAACTTAATAATGATATCGATAGTAATATTTAGTCCTTTTAATAATTCTACTCGTATATTTAAAGCAAACAGACACCATTGGACTTAACAACTACACTACATTTCATAGATACACTCTCAGCTACATTTCCGAAAAAACAAACAATTAAAATATCATAAAAACTTGGTTAACCATGTCAACAATATGAAAACGTGTATGACTACCTTTTATCAGATATCTGAACTGTACAAATACTGTATTCTTGATAAGATTCGAATGATAATTTTTTTTGTTTATTAGATAAGTTCAGTTATTAATTATATTCTTTTAATTTGACTGATTTTCTATGTTTTTAAATCTACTTAAATAATATTATAAAAGATGCTCTTTTAAATACATATCATTCAAATATACAAATGAGTAACTTCATACTCATCTAAACTTGACTGATACAAAATATGTTCATATTTTTGTAATAATATAACACAGTCTGTTGAACTGTAAGTTACAAATCAGTTACATGACAAAATTTTAACTTCTAATAATAAGCAAATATATTCAATTTAATTAACATACATTTTTGGATCACTTCCTACAAGTTTTAAAAATGAAATTGCTATTCTCTTGTGAACATAATTATTTTCTATTGCACACGCCACCATTAAACCCCCAAAAAACAGCATGTTTGTATCCTGGAAAATTTAAAAAAAAAAAAAAAATTTAAAGAAAAGTTTATACAACATAAAGAAAATTTTAAATGGAGAATAAATATCTTTAGTAATTTTAATGGTTTTATGCAATAATATTCTGGAAGTATAAACATTTTAAGTAAGACTACTCGTTTAGAATTGTGGAACATTGTGACAGGATAGGATACATAAAATCTAATTTATTATAAACACAAAAACTTTCAAGTTGTGAATGATATTGTGTCATTTTGTCTTTAATTAAATTTCAGTATCAAATAGGATTTCTAGAACTTCTATGTTTCTTATCAAGACACTAGTTAACAGTAGAAAATAGCATCAACTTTAGTGGAGATTTTTAAAAATTATAGTTAATAAAACTTACTCTTGTATAAGAGGGAGAAATAGTTGATGCCGGTGCTATTCCAAGTAGTGGTCCAAACACCAATGGGATTAGAGCAGTCACATAAATCGGTATGATTTCAGTCACCCATAAACCAGTCATAAGAAGTAAAACATAGCCTCCTCTTGCTGGCTTTAAAATAAATAAAGATAATAAGGTAAAAATTCAACGATATTGTATGATTAAAAAAAAAGATTTATTAAAGACAGCATAAGAGAAACAGCACGTAAATATCTAATAACAAAAATCAGTGCTATGTATACCGTATTTATTTTTTCTTTAAAAGAAATTATCTGGGGTATTTCATAGTCAAATTTGTTTCATATTAGTTTGTACGCCTAGCTAAAGAACTTCACTTTGACGAACATGTTTTGTATGATATACTTCCAAAGGGACCTTGATTAAGAAGTCTTCAGAATAATATCTAACTATCTCAAAGTGCATGACAAAGAATATTCATTCTTATAGAGATCGCTTAATATTTGAGAAAACGTTAATGGGAATATATTACAAAATCAGTCGGCCAAAAAGTGATTTGTTTTCTTACTGAACTTTTAGAATTTAACGAATAATCCTCATATAAAACTTATGGAATATTCGGAACGTTCTAGTCAATTATTTTTAAACACCATAGACATTATGCTAAGTTTCCTCAAACTTATGCTTCTTTAAAAAATAATAATCATTACAAGCAGCTTCAGTTGCTAAATGTTGTAGCTCTAATTCTTTACTGATTTAAAATATACTATTATCATACAGTAGTATTGCAAATCTATTCACATACAATAATACTTGATGAATCATCATAGTGCTTACCTTACCAGGTACCATAATTGGAAGTAACGTTAGTAGCCCAGCATATAAAAAGCAGAGAGCGACATTTCGGAATGCTAAAATCGTAATCCATATATTTCTGTACATCCCCGGGAGCTCCATTTCAGGTGAATAGATTGTTTTAATATATCGGGCAAGTCACGAAATAATTAGTCTGAACACTCTTTCACCGCTAACCGTGAAAATTTGGCAATCTATTAGATGGAATCAATTATGAGCTAAAATTAAAGTACAGGCTACATATAGAAGCCATCTATAAATCATCAGCAAAAATTGCGAATGAAAGTTATCACTTAAATTAGTAAGATATAACTGTATGAGAAATAAAAAGAATTTCTAAATGACCTGCTTAACAATAATAATTTAATAAATTCATTTACTACAAATAAATGGTTACATTTTGAGTTAGAGGTCAAACATCGAGCATCATTTAAATTTGTTTATATAGGTGAAATTATTCAAAACACTGGGTTATAAAGTACACTTAATGAAAAGTATGGAAACGGATGACTTCAGATTCAACATTATTCCAATAAGTTATTCTTTTACTTTAAAAGACCATGAAATCTTGTGTAATGGTAAGTTAATTTATACTAGAATATTACTAAATTTCAAAACTGACTATAAACACTCACGTTTCCCAAAAAAAAATATTCTTAAATAACATATTTTAATTATTAAATATTTCGTCACTCATATTGAAGTTTCAATTGTATACATGTGTATATTATAAATGAGTCATAAGAATTGCGTTACGTTCTTTTTTCAATGATTAAGATCATGAGTCAGTTGAAGTTAGACCACCATGGAAAACCTGGGAGCACTGGATGGCCGTTTCGTTCTATTATGAGACTCCTCAGCAGTGCGCATCCACGACCTCGTTCCCTGCGAGATTAGAACCTAGGACCTATTGGTTCCGCGCGCGAGCACTAAACCACTAGACCCTGAGCCGGCATCTAACGGTGTTCATGTCTAACTTCAACTAATCCACGAAATTGAGCGATACATCCACCATTGTCTTCAGTGAGTTACTATCTCACAACAGATCTGACTGAACTCCACTGGTCACTACTTCTCACTAGAACTCCAGGATATACCTCTTGTAGCCAGTCACTAGTGAGCATATGTTAATTAATATCAGATGGGGTTTTGTGGTGATTGTAGTAATTTTTTTACATTTGAAGTTCAAATTGACGAATTTCGAAAAACCACTATAATAATAGGTATTTAATGACAAGGTGTCTGTTAATTATGGTTGGTTGATTGATTAGTATTTATTGTATTCGTTAGTCATTTTTTATAAATTATTAGCTAAATGTAATTGTAATGGTTCTAGTGTTATTTTTGTTTTCATAATGTAAAACACTTCGAAGTAATAACCGGGTAATAAATGTATGTTAGGTTTTGACTTGTGTTCCCGTTAAACAGGTTATTGTGAATTTAATTAGTTAAATTTAATTGTATACAAAATATTAAAATTAAATTTCAAAACTAGTCATTTATTATCAAAAGAATTAAGTCTACACTATATAAATAGCTGACCTATGAAAGACAATAAGATAGCAAGGTTTTACAAATTAGTTTTCATCAATCTAAATTCAACGTTTATTTATTCAAAAGTAAGTTTTAACTTTGAAGATAGCCAGTTATCTTCATTCAGTTTACAGTGGCTCAATTCATTGCTACAATATATTCTAGAAAATTTATGAAGCGACGTTAAATGGGAGATAGAATCTCCTAGTAAACAAAAAAAATGATTCAACTTCCAATTAAGTATTTTCAAGACTGTAACTACCACATTGGTAAAGTAATAAGTGAGTTCTAGCATCAACATTTTAGTATAAAAAATCTCATTAAATAAAATGTTATACACAGCGATAAAAAGCCATATATATTTTGATGTAAATCTAGATAGTTTAGTAAACAGTTTTTAAATGTATCCACTTAATTTGTATGGAAGTAAGGATATACCGATTCCACAGTGACTGTGATACTCTTAAACTGCCAAAGAATTTTAATGCTTTCAATCATTAAGATCATGAGTCAGTTAAAGCTAGACCACCATGGAAAACCTGGAAGCTATGGACGGCCGTTTCGTCCTATTGTGAGACTCCTTAGCAGTGCGCATCCACGACCTCGACACCTGCGAGATTTGAACCCCGGACCTACTGGTTTCGCGCGCGAGTAGGGGGCGAGGTCGTGAATGCGCTACGCTGAGGAGTCCCACAATAGGACAAAACGGCCGTCCAGAGCTTCCAGGTTTTCCATGGTGGTCTAGCTTTAACTGACTCATGATCTTAATGATTGAAATTACTACAATCTCCACAAAACCCCTTCTGATAATTTTAATGCTATTCAACAGTGAGATATTAATAAAATACTAGTTTACCATGTTTAGCTATTGTTATTATTAGCGATCGAAAACACGAGTAGATCTAAACTGGATCACCATAGAAGACCTGGAAGGACTGGACGGCCGTTTTGTTATAGTATGGAACTCGTCGGCAGTAATCATTCACGATCCCGTCAGCACGACTCGGACCTAACACCTTCAGTTTCGCGCGTGAACGCTTAACCTTTAGACCACTGAGCTGGTATCCAACGATGTTAATGTCCATAATATTGCTCAATACTTCATCCATTTCCTGGAGTGGATGATTGTCTCACATCCGACACAGATTGAGCTCCACTGCTCACGACTTCTCACTAGAACTCCAGGAATTATACCTTAAACCTAATCACTAGTGAGCACATGAAGTATGAAGTATTTGTGAAAATTGTAGTATTTACAAATCGATCTAAGGTAGACCAATACTGAAAACCTGGAGGAATTGCTCAGCCGTTTCTTCCTAATTTGGGGCGCCTCATGTGTAGATCGACTCGTGATGTCAACTGTAAAAATACTACCATCTTCACAAATTCTTATACTGATATCATTTGTTACATATAAAAGAATGTGAGAAATATTACAAAAAATAAGGTTTGTAGAAACATTCGTAACAGTTATTGACCACATAGTGATAAGTAGACAGATTTTGTGGTTTCTGTTAAATCGTATAGATTTACCAGATTCAACGATCTGATATGTTAGAGTACTAATTTTGGTTTTTATTGTATCTCCTTTTAAAAAAAATTGGTCAGCTAGTACAATTCAGCTTATTCACCATAATACAGTTTAATCAAATTACTTGAACATTACATATGACACTATATGAAACAAGAACACTTACCATAGAAGTAATAAGTAATACTCAAATGAATAATGAGGTATAAGTAAATATAATAGAGTAATGCATTGATCTACATATGATGAGCTTGGATACACTTGTTTCATGATATTATATTGCTAATTTTCAGTACATGTTAAGGGTAACAAAATAATAAATGGATGGTGGCTAGCAGTGTAATCCAGGACGCGCATTTCATCTTATATGGAACTCGTCCGCTAGATGTAACTGAATTCCAGAGTTGGTGTTCACTCTGGGACTCGAATCCAATACCATTCACTTCAAACGCCATCGCATTATCCACTTGATTACTAAGTTCTGATAGCCACCCGCTTGTACAATGGGTCTCACTACCAGCCACTATCGATCTTTGCTTATAATGCTTGTGACTTATGACAATATCGAGGCAGTCTGCACAAGATGCACATATGCCAACAAGTGACTGATCAATTGTCGTTCTAAATAACAATGGGAAGATGCAAGCGAACAATACCAAATGAATTTAATTAATAAATGTATTTAAAAATACCTGGAGCATGAATAAAAAATTAACCGCTCGGAGTAGACTTATTGAGACATTTGAAATAGTGATATATATATATATATATATATATATATATATATATATATATATATATATATGTTCGTAAATGACATTTGCATGTGAATTTTTAATAATGATTGTATATAAATGAATGTTGACATACTGTACATAACTATAACTAAGGTATATCTATGTATCGTATACAAAGATTTATTTAAAAGTCTAATTCAATTAGCCTATAATTTGAATTTTGTTTATAAAATATTTTTAAATTATAAACAGAAAATTTAAATAATAGTTTAATTTTTAAAACAAAGATTGAGTTATTAACACAAAAACAAAACTTGTCTTAAAGATGTCAAATTAGTCATTTGTAATTAATATTCTGTTCTTTAAAATTAGTTTAATAGTTTGTGGGAATGGATTTAATTTAAATATGTCTCATCATGTATTAAAGCAAAGAAAACAATTAATGAGATTATTGAATTGTCTATGCCATTATGAAATTGAATGTAAAATATACAGCTCTCTCGTTATGCATAACATGTTTTTAATTATCGGTATCTAAATTCAATGCTTCACATTTTCAGTTTCAATTAACTTGCTATTAAAACGTATCTATCGAAATAATCATGTGATAAGTTTCATATCATGATGATTAGTTCTATGTGCTATAGGTGAACGTTAGAACTTTGAGTACTTTTTGTTAAAGCTAGCGATTAGTGAATACCTATTTGGACATATTAGATAAATAGTTTGTGTTAGTTATCAGCCATACGTTATAGGTAATTCGAATTAGTAGAAGGGAAATTTGTGTGATTTTCGTTGGTTCAACGAGATTAATAACTACATGCCATTTTATTTATACAAATCGGGATTATATAGATGTGTTCACACTAATCCAATTTCTTAATCGGTTAATCAAGAAAAAAATTAATTATTTATGGTTAGTGTTTGATGAATCTTAATAATGAGGTTGTCGTTCATTAATCATAACAGTCTTATTTATTGAAGTGACAAAAATAGATGTGTAGTGCATCGGAAACTATGAACACTTTTTTAGAAAGGTATATTTATGTATATAGATAGGACTATTTGATTAGATGATTTAGTCATGCTAATGAATGTTCTAAGAGTAAGAGAATGATTGCTACTAGGTTAATGCCTTTAGAAAAGCTACTTTAAATCTGAGTGCAAATCTATTAAACGGTAATATAAAAAGTTTCCTGTTATGATGGAATGAAAAGTCTAAATTAGATTGATTTACTCATTACAATCTTTTATTCAATATCAATTCTGTTTAATTCAATTTGATAATCACTTAGTGTAGTATTTGCTTTGTTTTCCCTTATGATATTTTATTCTGTATAACATACGATATTCTTGTATTCAATGGACATGAACTATTCTCAGCATATGATTTGTTATAACTAAGTATTTTTTATAGATGTGATTTTATTATTATTATTATAAGCTTTATTCAACATTATATTTTTGGTACAATATTGAATTCTCAGCATAAAGTATTTCAACAAGTTTCCTTCTCTTATATCTTGATCGATCCTGACGATAAATATTGAGTGATGGCCAGTTAGATGTTAGGAGTTCGATAATCGACATTTGAATAATGTTCATTCGTTTCAATGCATATTGCAAGCCACCATGATGTCGCTGGTTGTACCTTTTTGTAATCCGTACAGCGAAAGGTTGTAAACTTTTCGTAAACGCGCCTGAATAGGTTGTGAGCTCAATAGACATAATAGTGTGTTAAAACAAACAAGAAAACAGATAACTTGACGAAATATCTAGATGGGAGGAACAGGTAGCCCAGATAATTATTAATCAAAAATGGGTGTATAAATCAATATGTAAATAAGTGTATTTCGGACTAGACTTGTCGTGATTGTTTGTGCTTCTGCCTGCTTGTGGAATATATTTTTCTCTTCCGAACTTGCACTTTCTCTCTCTAGTTAACTGGACTGAGATAGGTTAGAATAGCTAGTTTATTGATCTTTGGTCACACAGTCTTTGCTCCGTTCTCAGACTAGGTTAATCCGTAATCGCTTCAAACATAGCATTTCCAAATTAAAAAGCTGATTCTTTTTGTTTAACTGAAATATAAAATTATATTCAATAAATATATTTGTAATATCTCAATAAGTAGAAAAATCAAATTTTCTGACGTTTCGTGATTCAGTGTAAGCCACTTCCTCAGTGACTAATAATTTTTCTCCTTATTGGGACATTACAAATATATTAATTTATTTATAACAATCTAATCAATGCTCAATTTATTCGAAATTATCAAGTCAAACTCTGGTAATGATACATGAAATTGTATTGTCTTTATCGTCTAATCATCTTTAAATATACAAAATTTGAGATTGATTAAATATTCTATTTATCATCTACATCAATAAACAGGAAAAAAGTTTATCATATCAGTTAAATTAATTTTAGAAGATGGACACATTACATTTGAATATGTTCTCTACAAATCCTTGTACTTGTGTAGAACCAGAATTAAGCGGCTTTTAACGCACTTATTAAAATAAACTATCTTCTAAGTTAATCTAAATATTTATCATATATTTATAAATTAACGATTTATTTTACGGCTAATCTTGAAAGATCTATCTTAGAAAGTGAGTGATGCAATGACACTTTATTTCACGTATTTTTATATGTGTAATAAAGATGGTATTTGAGATCAATACCATACAAAACACCTATTAAAGCTCTTCATGGCCGGTGTTCCGTTTACCATAGAAAATGAAAGGAATATAGCTGAGCAACAAAGAGTAGACAGTATAAATCCTTGTTCATTTTATTGGAAGTGTATAAGACGTGGTTTATACAGGTACTCGAATGATATTTTTTTAACCGGTTGCAATAATATTATTTTACAGAGCAGAAAAAAAACATGAAGTACAGATAAACTGAAAAAAAAATTCATGAACTTTAGAGATTATCTAGGCAATAATCATTCATATACATCTCAACATCAAAGCTAATGATTTAATCTCACCCATTTAGTCTTTTACTACCTAACACAATAAAGTGTGGTCATTTTATTCTATTCATATTATTGTTTTTCTGAAACTGATAAAGTGAATTATGTGTCTAAAATTTCACAGTAGTCCATAGTAATTTTTCAATCACAGATAAATTTGATATTAATATAGATTAATGTGTTATAAAAACACTCATTTCCGTGTATTGATAACTGGATAGAATGATAATGATTGTTAAACGTCAACCGATAGAATAATGATTAAATAATTCTAATTAATTTGAAGTTTTTAAGAATGATAGTTTAAAAAGGTTATTGTATTCAGTACCATCTTATTATCTAAAGTATTGAAATAACCAAATAAACAGAATTGAAGTTAGACATTAACACCGTTGGATGCCGGCTAAGTGGTCTAATGGTTAGGCGCTGATAGATCTCATAGGTTCTAGGTCCGAATATCTCGAGGCAAGATCGTGGATGCGGATTGCTGAGAAGCCCCACAACAAGACGAAACGGCCGTCCAGTGCTTCCAGGTTTTCCATAGTGGACTAGATTCAACTGATTTAAGATCCCAACCATTAAAATTACTATAATATCCACAAACCCCTTCTAATGCTAAACAGAGAAATGTAAAAAAGTGCAAATTACTAAGTCCAAATTTTGTGATTTGGTGAGTCAGTTTTCAAATTGCAAATAACATAGGTATAATCGGGGGATTTACTACAAAAACGTTAGCAGTAACCTGCCATGTGGTCATTAATACGTCAGATGGCTAAGATCAATGATAGATGCACAATGTAATCGATAGTTGATTACCTATCAAAATTTTGGTTTAACCAGAAATTTATAATAAAAACTGCTTCTGGATATGAATATTTTTCAGTATTGGTTTAATAGTTGAGAAATTTCGATAAATTATATTTACTATACCTAATCGATTCATAAAGTTATAATTGTCATTTGTGATATACGGAACAGTACATGAATGTAGTGTTCCGTATATCTTTTATTTTTAATTTTTAGGGATTTAAGATTAGTTTCTTATACGTTAACTAATGCAGATACCCATTTCTGATATTACTGAGACAGTTGTTAGATGTCATGAACATATAGTTAGTTTGTCAAACAATCTTTGACCGAAGAATACGCATTGTTTAAAATAAGGTATTGGTTATTCAGTAAAACAAAAAGCAGTCATCAGTTCATTACCATCGGTTATTCACTTACCTATCATATTTACTTTAGTATAAGTGATTAACACGTGACATATAAATTCTTCTACAATTTATTTATAATAACTTTTTTTAATCACAAGTTAAAAATTTCCTAACCAACCAGAAAAAGGAAATTAATGATTTATGTTATATATAAAGGACATGCTCACGGTAACTTATGAGAATAATTTTATTGATAGTAAGTGTACTGATCTCTTCAACATACCATGATGCATTTTGGACTAACCCAACGTGAGCTACTTCAGTATACACAGACTACACAGCCGAATGTTTTGAAACCTGGAGTCATAGATGAAGTAGTGAATGTGTTATTGAAACACTATGAAGTGAGTGTAGATTAGTAAATCAGACTCATATTTCTTTATCATCATTTCCTATAACATTTCATTAAGGATTGAAAAGAAAAGGAATTATATCGTTTATTTTCCTTCTTATTTTCAACCAACAATTAGAATATTTTATAGTCAGTAAACAGTATTTCTATTCTTAATTAATAGTACTGATTTATTATGATTTAAATCAAACCAAAGGACGTTATTTATTTTATGTTTAACTGCATATATTGAGTTCCTGACTACGTTACAGCTAGGATATAATCTTATGGAATAAAAATAATTTTCAATAAGAATTAAGATGAAGTTTAGTTATATATAAGAATTTCAACAAGGTCTTAAACTTTATCCTAGTGACTTTAAATTGTTTCATTACTGTTCCTTAAATATCATCTTGAATGATAACTTCAAATATATGAGACCAAAACAGTTCATGAAATCATCTTCTGTGGTTGCATTACGTTATATCAATTTTCTTTATAAACAATAAAGAGGATCTTTTTTTCTATAAATTGTTACCAAATAAACTGTCACACAAACACATACTTAACATTTTTTTTTCCAGTGCTTGCTACATTTTTATTCACTCAAGGTAAATTTTGTAACATCACATGCTACTTAGACTAATCAATATTATTCAAGCTTCTAAATTGGGGACTGTCTGATTTTCAACTTTGTGGGTATTTAAAAACTACTTGTTTTCTACATTGATTTATTTTGATGGTTGTGTAAGGATGACTTAAGTTTCTTTTTACTTTAACATAATTGATTTCGTACAAAATCTAACAACTGATCGGTTTGCTAAATCAGACTTTTTCTAATAATATGTCTTAGACATTATTTATTGATTGTGTTGCAAATTTACAATTTGATTTTTCGTCATAAAAACAGTGTATTGTAACCACTTAAAATTAATTGATAGTGTTGTATCTAGGTAAATTATGCTCTCAAAATAGTTTCTCATTCAAGTATGGTTAATTACCTAATCAAGCCGATGATTGAATGCTTAATAAAAATGTTAAGTATAAATTGCTTAAATATAAAATAGCTTATTTCCAGTGGTGAACATCATCTCTCACTTATCTTTATTTAAAGACTTGAAATTTATATTACTCAGAGAATACTTAGACGGATAATTATCCATGTATACTATGAGAATAACGTTCTAAACTGAGAAAAATTATTGATATAACATGTATATCAACACATGTTTAACGTATATTATTTTTTTGAAAATATTGTTCAACATGATTGATTTTTGTAACTTTTTCTAAACTACCTTAATACTACGTTCTTCTGTAAATCAATAAACCAACGTTATCATAGACTTTAAAAGATTTTGTCAGAAGGTAGGAAAACTTGTCTTCTTCCCCCAGTAATATGGAAGCCCTGAAAGTTATAAGTCACAATAAATCAATAAGTCTTCAAACGTTGTCATAGTAACTAACACTACTACAAAGTTACATCATTCCGGTTTCACTTATCGGTTCAACAGTAATCCCATAATTTTATAATGATCAGGACTAAATTAACAATATACACATGATATATTTTCCTTAGTTCAAATACATTTTAGAAACTGTATTCGCGAGTCTGTATTAATAGCAAACAACTACTCAAACTTACAACTTCCTTTTCAAACTTTGATTCAGTTGTTTCCTTGTAAACTTTACTGCAGAAAACGAAAATGTTTTTGTATTATTAATTAATTTTACGATAATGTTAAAATACTGCATATGTGAACTTTATGAAGTCTGATAATTTTCGGATTAATTGTTACTACGTTTTTAGTTGATCCTTGATCATATCAAGAATTTCAAACCGCTTTTAATAAAAGAAAGCAAAACAAAATTATGTATATACTGATAGCACACTAATAAGCTAAGAGTATTGACAAGTTAGGATCAATTAGACATTTTTTGAATATTCAGTTTGGGGATTCCCTATATTTGTGAAATCGGTGTTCAATACAACAAACTTTATTTTCTATTTAATCTACTTTAAACAATTAAAGTTTTCTTTAAAATTTTCAAGTAATGGATCGAACTAATATACACGTTTAATTTAAAACGTACCTTTACGAGCTCATTCAACTCTAATATCACTGACACTTTAATATCATTTTATTAAAATATTAGTGTGTATAGTTATGACCAATGGAATAAATAATTCAAAAGTAACTGTGATTAGAAAAGTTTGATTCTTATTTTTCAAACTCCATTTCAGTCGAAATAATGGATACTTTCCCTACTAATTTTTCATTTGATTGATATAAAAATTTATGAGGTTAAACCTCAAAGTTGATATTCCTGACAATTTGAGAATGTAATCTTTTTAATACTTCATCCTGGACATTTTGTTATAAGCAAGCTATAACAACCTATTGTAATATAACCAACAATATTTTATTTTATAGAAATGTGAAGATGAACGAATCCACAGGTTAGCTGAAATCGAACGTAAACGTATGCAAAATCTGGAAGCAGAAACTGAACTAAAACAGATACATTTGTGTTTAAAGAAAGAACCCAAATGTCAGACTAAGAAATTGACCAGAAAGACTGTAAAACCATCTATACATTGGATGGAAACCCAGAAACCTGGGATGCATCCACCACCAGATTCAGACAAATGCAAAGTGAGTTTGGGTAATGTATTTTTATCTAAACGTCTAACTGGACATAAAAAACTATCTAAGAATAGTAAAGATATACTTCCTTTAAAATTTTTACATATAATAATTCTGTTCCTACGTTAAAAACGTCTTAAAACGATACCTAGAACATTCCAACCACCACTCTACCTTGATGGTAACGAACTGTTGTATAAACGGGAAGTCAGTTTATAGTCTAGGTCAGTATTGATAAAAAAGTATCACAAATAGTAACAGTGATTAATTAAAAACGATATCTAATGTATAAGTGTGATATTAGCACGTTAAAAATCCACTGATCAGTCTTTTGGGATAGCTAGTTATATAAATATTGTTTAGAATGAATAATTGGAAAACTGATCATTCTACATGGAATATTTTGCATATTCATGCGACATAATACACAGAAAACAATAAAATTTTCTGTCAAAGTGCTAGTAATTATTTAACAGAAATACTTACTGATAAAGACTTAGTAATAAAATGATTAAAATCTTTTAATGGAATTATATCTTTTCGTTTATACACAATTAAATCAATTGAATGAATTAAAATCAGGGACAAGAACAGACTCACGTTACTATCTCCCATGTTTTATTTCAAACTGGCTAAGATGTAGAACGAAAGCAATTAAACAGATGTCACTGGAATATTAAAATTTGTTGCTGAACTACTAATATTAAAACTAATATTCACAGTTGTCACTGAACAATTTATATTCTAATAAAAGACAAAGAAAATAAATAACCTGATAGTTCGATGTTATATAATATATTATGACTGTTTGTTTTCGTTTATAAAATCACGTCGTGTTAACGACTTATCTTATCAATAAGTTTGAATAAAGGTCAAACGTATTAAATTTTCAGAACTTTATCAAACACAATTATGAAACAATCAACAATTGCAAATGATCAGTTATTGACCGAGAAAGTGTATATATCTTATTTTAATTCGATCATTCCAACATTATCTACATTAATCTGCTTTTTTTTAATCGACCCGTATTAAGGAAGAGGATAGCTATGACCCAACTATGAAGTCAATAATTTAAGTTATATGACCTCTTTTTTCAATATCTCCACTTTGTGCAAGTCACAAAGTAGTTTTGACTTTGAATATTTTGAATTTTTTCCCCTAGTAACGTATGTGATTTGAATACTTAAATAGGAAGATAAAAAATTGATTTTCTCAAGTATACGCCATATAAAATATAGTCATGTGACGTTTGCACTTTTTCGTTAGTTTCTTGAAATTTATTACAGCAAAACAATTCAAAAATTTCCATTTTTATATTTTATTAGTAATAACCCAAACATCTGATCATTGATTAAGTTAAAATGGATACTATAGTTACCTAAAAGTACAGAAGATGAATTTTAAGCAAATGGAATGAAAACTTTAGATAAAGTACGATAACAATCATTTTATTGTTTAATCAAGTAAATTAAGGAAGTGTGCTAAAACGTTATTAGAAAACACATAACTCCAGACTTCTCTAAAGATATTCGTTGTTTACCTATTCAAATCTAAGCTCAGTTCTATGCTGTTTTCAAATAAATGTGGTGGAGAAACCAAAAGAATTCACTAAAATATTATAAAGACTATGACTTCAGAGATAGGAGAAATAAGATAATCATATATATATTCCTTATCATGATTCTATTTTTGGTGTGCTGCTTCATCAATGACCGTATACGTTTTTAATGATTCTACTTGTGATTTGCATGAAAACCAGGTTATTAAGCATATTCCTATGTTAGGACAACACAATGGAAATCTTTAATATTTCTATGTGCAATAAATCTACCATGTTTTAGATGTTATTCAGTGCAACCAACCAATTTTTTAATTTAAGTATGCTTAAAAATCTTAAAATACAATAAACTTATAATTGTTAACTTTACAGTCACCCATATTCAGTACACAAACCTGTTTCTTACGAGCTAAAATGTAGAGTACATAAAGTCGACCATTTTGTATATTGTTGGTTTCATTTGGTTGAGCAGTTGTTTACCTAGTTAATCCTATTAAAATATAAAATAACCCTGAATATACGTGTTTATGTATAAAGTAAAGTAGATAAAGCGTTTGAATCACTGAATATTTATACTGATATATTATTACTTGATGACACTTTGAAGTAGGAAAATCCAAAAGAGCTATCCAATGAGTTGGATGAATTTTCAGGTGAACTATAAAAGTTCAAGTTTTCTTAAGCATTAGCAAAGTACTGATTAATAAAGTTTCAACCACCTATTTTTAAGTCTAATGATTCGTATGTGTTATGAGTACTCTTACTTTAACTAGTAAATGAATGGTCATATAATTAAATTTCATTTAAAATTATGAACTCAAATACCGAAACACATTCTATGACCTTGTCATTTTCATCAAAGTTGCCGCCGATTCTGTTTGGTTATGTTACTTCCAAAAGAAATATTAAAGAATCAGACATCTATTTATAATTTTACCATGCCTAAACCATGATTAACGAAAAAAGCAAACACTCATCATCAGTAATATGATATTCTTTTGGAAACCTGAACACAATTGTTTGTGCTTTTGTTATTTTAACATAAAAGAATCAATATTTCATAGGAAGCATATCTGTTAGAAAGTAGTCAAAATATAACTCAGCTATTTAGTTAGACTTGTTAGTTAAAGGACGTAGTATATTGGTATTGTAAATGGTCTACACTCATCAACTTAGTGTTTAATATAGGTCAACTGCCGTCAATTAGCTAGATTCGAATTTGACTACTGACTACAAATATGATTACAGTTTTGGTACAGTGTTTAAATCAGTGTTTGGTGAGTAAATAAATCATCATTTAGCCAAATCAACCTTTTTCTGTCGTAAAAGGTAGCAAGGAGTAGTTTTTCAGCAATCGCAACAAATACCTATATCTCTAGCAATACCAGTTCTTCATCACTATTCAGTAGTATCTCAAAATATGACAACATTTATAGACATTTTAAACTATTCGAATTATAATAAGTAGAGTAGTTAAACTTATTAACTATAATGTCAGAATAAGAATTCGTACAAAATCAACGTTTCCATTTTCTTAATAATTTGTTGAAGAAAATAAAAGATGATGATCTATTAGCTAAGGCAGAAAATGATATTTCCAACGAAACGGATAATGATCCGAAAAACAGATATACCGATGTATATCAATCAAATCGGCTAAAAGAATTAGATCCAGATGCATGCTTACATTTACCTCTTGGTTTGGTAAGAAATCCAACTCCAAGAACAAAGAAGTTTTTATCATCCGAGGTACGTTATTCATAAATTGATGAATTATATTTACTATTAATCTATCTATATTGTGTTTTTAAACTAGTTAAGTATATATGTTTGTATTTAGTTTAGTTTACCTGAACTAGTATTAATGTTTATTGCACATATACTTTATAAATAAACTTACTAATTCTCTAATAAGCAATCTAGTTTGGTGATGAAGTGATCTTTAAAATGGTTACATTAATCTACCACGCATATTTTTATTAATGTAAACCAAAACGGTTTTTATTGATTTGATAACATTTATGTGAGACATAACATTTCATTTTTAAATCCTTAATTTTTTTTCAAAAATATTAAAGAATGTTTGTTTAACTTTTATTTGAATTCCAAAAATCGTTTAGACTAATGAATCACTTTATTCTACGGCAAATCAAATAGTTTATTCATCATCTGAAGATCAAGCACAGAAACGCTGAATAAGGAAAGGAAGCAACAATTTAATTCAATTGATAGAATATTGTATAATGAATGTTTTTCTCAAGAAAACAATCAGTATTTACAAGAACCGTTTTATTGATGTTTATTGTTCTTTTTTTTCATAAATTATAAATTTTGATTGGCATTGTAAAACTTTCCATTTTCAGTTATGTTATCAGTAATCAATTAAGCCAAAAAAAATAGTTTATTTCACTCCAGTTTTAACATTACTCTGCTTTTTAACGATTCAATAGTTTGTATTCCAGTAAGCAAAAGTTACATCACAAACAGTTTTAAGTGTATTTTAATTATTTAAATTAAAATTTCAGACATTAATAACATTCTTATTCGGGAGTCTTCATAATGATACATATTATAGATACATAGATCATATATGTATACATTAAGTTAGTAGAAAAACTAAACTTTAAATATCAAGAAAGGATCAGTTAATATCATTATTCGTAAGGGTTTGAATTATTCTGTTGTTAATATCCAAAACTACGCTTTGGTTATTCATTGTTAGCATAAGTAAATCCTATAATGAATAACTTAAGTCATTTTGAACAGATGAGGTGTAGATAACAGTGGAATCCAGAATGTAAGTTACGGTTTGCTTAGAACTAATCAGTGGATTTATTTCTACTTACATATTGAATTTCATCTAGATGGCAAGTCCTGTATAAAACAAAGCAATTGTCTTGAATACCACTGCCAGTCACAATTTATTTATTCTGAAGTATTCGTCGATGTTTGACATCAGGCTTCGTAAAGAGTGTGGTGGTCGGTGTTCGATATATTCCTTAAACTCCGTATACAGTACGTCTCGGTAACCGTCACCAAATACTGCTCCAACGGTATATTAATCAGAAGGCGAATACGAAGTGTTAATTACGTTTATTATGGGACCACACACAGATATCTAATATTACAGATGCGTTAAGCAAGCATGAAATAGTTATGCCGAAAGGCAAACAGGCAAGCGAGCGAGCGAGAGCAAGGGCAAGAGCGAGTGATCGAGCGAGTCATGAATATGAATAACATGGACATATATATACATAGTGAAATTAATGAATCATCGAGTCAATTAAGCGGTTAATAGTAAAGCTAGTAGCGTGAATAAATGCGTAGGCAGTAAGGCTTGCCGAGCATACATATTCATACAAGGATAACAATAATAAAGGTACATACATTCGCAACAGTAATAAGGATACAATAAGTTATTATAGTGCAGGTGACTTTGTCCGTTTAATAAGTTAATAAAAGGGCTTAACCGAATTAGGTGAGAGCAAACTCAATTGAACGTGAGTTGCTATAAGAGATTCAAGGGAAAATACGCCATTCATAGCGTATATGTTTCCCACAATGTTGTTCAGTCGCAATAACAAATTACAATCCAGTGCTAGGTGGTTGCAAGTAAACATAAATGTTCTTTTCTGCTAGTTAGAGCTGGTCATGATGGCTTATATCAGTTTTGATAAAACTGATACCTTCCATGTGATTTAAAACCACTTCTTTAAACATCACATTCAGAGATGTTACCACTAAGTTATTAATGCTGTGACTGATCATTGGGAAGACTAAAACATTTACATCGGCTTACCATTGAGTAATAATCGATATATTACTTATCTAGTTCATGTTCATGATTGATAGCAGTAAGGATATCAGCCCTATAAGAGATCATTCACTGGTAAGGCCTCTGAATGTGACATTAGACAGTATTGATTCGGATCATGCTGGAGGCGTTTGTTTCCTAAAAATTAATGACCGATAGAACCCATTTAATAGAGTTGACAAGCGTGATGTTGCCAATCATTACAAATAATGATCACATTTGTTTTGCGAACGTCACATGGCAGTGCTTAACTACGATTTATAAGTGAGAGATGCATTCTTGAAAATAGCAGAGCTAGCCTGTCCTGAATTTGAAAGAAATGAGTTATATTTACCAACATACATAACATTAAATTGTCAATGCAAAAAAAGTTGTGACTGAATAATCACCGAGAGGTGACTAATGTAATGTTTGCTTGGTTCTTTACAGCTGATTCAATTCTGTCGATCAAGTTGTAATAATGTCAATAGTGAAAGTTACTCAACACAAAATTCGCGATGTTGAGACTAGTAGTTAATTATTCAAATAATATCAACTACTTACTAAAAGCGCACGTTTGTAATGAGATCTTGATTAGTTTATAAGCTTTTTCGTTTGAGTTAGAATCATTTAAGTGGATTTTCGGTCGTGAAGCTGTTGTTCTTTTGAACAACCTTATCAACATAAACTTCGCGTAGAAGCGAAGTTTGGATTTTTCCACATATGACTCACAGCTTACCCTGTAGACCTCGATGTTCATTGGTTATTGTTGATCATTAATCTGTCATTGTTTACTGCTTTATTTTGATTATATCTCCGATTGATTCGATTCTTGGTCCTATATTGGTCCATGAGTTTTTTGATTGGTTGATTGACTGGATCTATCGCAATTTGTTTGTTGATTGCTGATTGACGTGAGTATCAAGCTTCTAAAAATTCTCTGGTGCTTTTAAATTCCCTTTATGCAAGATCGCAACATTTTTTCCAGTCAAATGTGTGTCCATGGTTGTTCACATGCATTGATATAAGCGAGAATATGTTATGGCACTTGACCGCTAATTGATACTAATGCAGGCAAAGATGAAAGAAGCATCCACCTTGTCCGATGTAATGTTTTTTGCAGTTGGAACAATTTATTTTGTATATTTTCGGTTTTTCTTCTTTATCATTTTGTCCTTTGCTTTGCACAGGATTGACTGAAATGACTCGTAATTTTTGCTACACTTATTCCAAATGGCTTCAATAATCTTGCAATTTCTGAAGTCTTTTTTATGGTAGGATGATCTGTTTGTTGTTTCTGTGCTTGATTTTGTTTTCACTGATACGTTAAGTTGATATTTTTGATGGAGTACATTGGGTAGCCGTTCTTTTGAAAGATAGTCTTTAGATATTTTTTCGCGCTAAATAAAATATATGTAGCAGCCCACTTGCTATAAAAACGGAATAGTTACGTGTAAGAAGTTTTAATTTACTATGAGTTATCTCCTTGTAAGGTAGATTGAATTTTGTTATTACCAAATAGTTTTTTGTCACATACTTTGGGGTTATTGTTTTTTAACCAACAGAGAACTGCCTCAGTTTGCTGTAAATTATAAATTATCCTAAGTACATTCCCTCAGACACAAAAGGGAATTGAAACCTTTCAATGGAGTCCTCATCACTATCTGATGTATTTCTCAGATCAATTATTTTTATCACCAATCTAACTCCAGTTTCAGATTCTTTTTGAATACTTAGTCTTTAATCAGATCACTGAAACATTTGAAAAATTCATCCAGGTAATAATGCATTACTAACTACTCTAAGGTTAATCTAAACGGTAATAAAAATTGTTTTAGGTTTTGACGTTAGTTGTCAATTTTATAAAACGTTTCGTTCTGCTTTATCTGTTTGTGAGGAATAAAAGCGTAAAACAAGTAATATCTTTTTACGGATTATCTCTGGCTTGAAATTCCTCGTTTCTTCTTTATTCAGCAACATATGAACCGGTTCTTATTTATTCTGATTGATTCACGACCGATCATGAGCAAAGATTTGACACATTTTAATGAATCTCAAATCGACATTCGAGAACGAACCGAAAATCATACAAAGACGAACAGGTCACAAATTTTATGGAATTAATTATGTTTACTCATATTTTTTGTGTCCTATTCTTCATATTACGATTCCTTTTTCAACATCAGTCTCAATTTCACCAGTTAATATCAAACCCTTGTCCATAATTCCCACTATAATTACAGAAAAGTCAAGTGAAAGCAGAATGTTGTTGATTTATTCATGTCTATTTTTAATCTACGTGGCGAGAATAATAGAAATACTGTCATATCTTTTACCAGTTGATAGCAAACATCTACATTCTGTTAAACGTAATAAATATTCAAACAAAATTATTACCTATGATCACGCTAAAATGAAAATACCTTGTTGAAATATTTCAAGCCAATTCTTCATTTATGTATTTGAATTATTGTTTTTTCAAGTTAATTTACCTATGTTTTGTTAGCGAACATGTGCACTGATTTACATATGAGGCTTACTTATTTACACCTGTTACCCTTCGTGGGACATAAGCTACTATACGTGGGTTCGCAAACCAACTCTATGCTGGGCACTCTTTTCCAGTTACTTCCAAGTGATATTCACCCTTTCGATGTCTCCTTCCAATTCTTGAAGTTAATTTAAATTGTTGATATCACATAAACTATACGTAGTTCATCGGGATTTCTTAATTTTTCAGTTTTGTAGCATCATAAACAATAGCAAACAAAACGTCATTTGGCAATCTTCGGAAATTTCAATATAGTTTTGATGATTAAAATGAATGTAATGTCTTTATAGTTAATTCTTATTTTGACCAGAGCACTTATCGATAGATTTGATAATTTAAAAAAATATCTTAGTATTCATATAGAGTAAATCAGTTCTTATTGAATGATGCACCTAAGACAAAATAGTTTCGATTTCTAACTTCAATCCATGACAGTTCAAACCTGTTCGATGCTGTACAAACAATATTTTTGTAGATAGCAGTTATGCATTGATATCCAGCTCAGTGTCATACCATAATTATTCGAACGAATGGAATGTCCAATATATTATTAATGATAGATTTTAAGTAACGATAGGAAGTTATATTATTGTCATACCGTGTTCAATTAATTCAAAACGATAGTTCTGTGGATACATAATTTCTAATTAGTTAATTCTAATTTTCAAAAATTTCTTTGGAGAAAGATATAGTTGAAACCTCAATCGGAATGAAAACATGTGAGTGTTTCAAGACAAATTTCTCATAGATAATGCTACATGAACTTCTAGTAACCAGTTTATCATGTCTCAATGATAAAAGAATCACATACAATCTACTAGGTCTAATGTACTTATGGTTTATTATTTCAAGCTTTAAACGTGATTCATTCGACCAAACCGAACCTTCATATATTATTCATCCAAACGTCCCAATTCATTATTTGTATCTTCATTTCCTTCCCAGATGCAATATTATTGGTTTTTATGAAATATGTATGTCATATAAACTTTAGTAAATGGTATATAACCAACCCACATTTTTCACAAATATGAATGTGAAGAAATTATTACGAACTCATATGAAAAATTAAAAAAAATATTACAGAGAAAAGAATAGTTTATTTCTTATAGGAAACTTTGTATGGCGCAAAAGATCAAACATTCTTCTAAGTAATTCTCACATGGGAAGTATCGAAATAATCCTCGT